CCACACCGGGGTCACTTTCAGCGAGCCGCACTCTGAACGGTCTGAAGAGCGGCCAATTAAATCCTACATTTTCTGACCCGGGAGCGACTATGTAATGGGATCTGAGGGCCACGGCTCGATGGACCGAGCAGAAGGAAAGTAAGAGTGACTGACAACACTTCATCCCTGACATGAGCAGTCACATGTGTCTTTCCACAGCCCTACACAGGCAAAAGAAAGCACAGAGCGAACGCCGTCTCTTCAGGCTGCTACTGCGCGAATCCTATCCCTATTCAGCTTGCTTGGTTAAATAAGTATCCACAGGAAACGAGAGCAGAAAATAGTCAGCCAGGAACCAGGCAGCAAGTAGAGCTATAGTAACAGAGTGGGAGAAAACAATAATGTCAGGACTCTTAATCCCTAGGACACACTAGTTATCAATCTCCTGTAAATGTCAGGCACCAGGATAAGGCCTCATGAATGATGGATATCTTCCCTATTCTTTTTTTCATCTTTTTTTCTGCATTGTATCATTGAGTGAACTGCAGCAAGAGCTCAAGGTGTATCTTGAAAGGTAATGTTCTCTCCTTGGATTCACAGCAACACTGGAATCCAAACCAACGATGGTGACTTGAAGGAAAGAGGGAAAAAAGCTGCTTTTAATCCCAACAGTGTCATATCAGTGTCACCAGAGTTGGTAAAGATTAGTGCTGTTTGACATCTGGAAAAAGAGACTTTGCAGTACTGATGCTGTACTTCCTAATATAACAGTTATCAACTCATGTTTTTAACTCTTCACCGTTTTAATCTCGCACTAGGAGTGGTTGTTCATTACAAATAAATCTAAATCTTCTAAACCTCTTGGCAGTGAAGAGTTTGGTAAATAATTATCTGTCGATATGAAATATTCATCAAAGATTTATTGATTTGTTTGATAACTTTATAGTTTTTATTAAATATTACCTCATGCAGTTCTCCTTTCGCCAATGCTTTATGTTTTATGTACACTGGAAAAAAATCTAAATCTAGATAAGTCATTTTTTTCTTAAAATAAATGCATTTGTTCTTGAATTGAGGAGGTAAAAGAGACATTTTGCCAATAGAACAAGACAATTTATATTTAAAAAAAGAAAACACAATTGCATTGTTTTATTTCAAGTGCATATTATCTAATTATATCAATTTTAAGAGTAACAATACTCATTCCATTGGCAAACTACATCATATACCTACTCAAATTAAGGGTTAATACAGTTAATTTAAGACATTTTTACTTATTTCTAGATGGTTTTTCCAGTGTATTGGAGCTGCCTTTACATTATATCTCCAGGACTGTGTTTAAGCTTATTTTAGTTGTGCAAGACTGATTGGTCTGTATCGATCATCTACTACAATTTACTTCCCAGCATTTCCCAGAAAAAGAATAAATATCAACAGAGAAGAAGCTTTGTGGACAAATACTTGATGTCAGAGAATAGGTAGACATATTTAAGATGACAAAAATGGAACTGGGGTCAAAATAGGCACCTATTAGAACCAAGCTCCATTTTTCTCTACTTCCGGCGAAGTCTGAAAACCATACATTCTCAATGCACTGAACTTTGCATTTATATTTGAGATCACCGTCTCATATGCATGTGCAAAACATTTGCATTGTTTCATGAGTATTGTTCCCTGTGTTATTGGTAAACTAAGATTAGAGTTCGGTAGGGGTGTGGAAAAAGTTTGATTTTGCGATATATCGTGATTTGCGGATGCCCAATATAATATCAATCTTTCAGTTCCTAATATAGATTTAAAACAAAAAACATTTTATCTAAAACATGAGGCAAAATGAGTTAGCTCTGCACCACCAGTCTGGTAGATAGATGCGGACCCCTGTTGCTGTGCGCTATATTTAGTAGCTGGCTAGCTCAAGTGGTAAGACCTGCAAACCGGAAGCCAGCCTTGCTTTTTTATCTATACATTTCATTTGATAGCTCATCGTAGGTCACTCTAAATGCAAAGTGGTCCCATACAGCAGACCTATAAAGTGCTGCTGGCGCGTCTTCCAACTCCTGTTCTTTCCCACTCGCCATACCCACACAATTCTCCACAACAACTGATTTTTTCCTGCTACACCCGGCTACGCTGCTTCACTTCTTCTTCTTGTTTACTACTGGTGGTTGGCTTTGGTCGCAGTACCGCCACCTTCTGCTCTGGAGTGTAAACGCTTCGCCTATGAGAAAAAGGAGCAGAGCATGAACCGAACGCAACACACGCGAAGCGAACCGAGACAGTCGAACCGAACGGTTCGGACGGTTTTCATAAACCGTTCCATCCCTACACAACACACATACCAGCTTTTAACCATAGAACTCTGAATTCTCATGTTATTCTGAGCCAAAAACAAATCAAGATCAGAAAATATCAGCCTGTATCTAAAATCTGTGATATTAGCAAGCTGATAGAACCTCCCTGCTTCTCCAGAAAATTTAGGTTTTTCATTGAATGGGCCAGTTTTTTTTCTTTCCTGTTGATGTTGACTCTATGACTTGATAAAACCTTTCTATCACTCTAAAAAACAAAAGAGGCCAAACTAAACTGTGTACGAGTCGCCCTGATATGGTATCCGGCTAATATAGTAACAGGTCAATAATCAAAAGTGCAACATCAGTAGTGTATTGGAACTGACAAAGTTGTATCAGGGAATACAAAGCAAACTTTGGACTCTAGTCCACACAGAACCTCACATAAATACCTCAGTCTAACTGACTACTTTTACTGACCATGTCCGAATCTTAATGACCACAGTTTACCAATCTTCTGAGGACAACTACCCGCAGCGTAATGCACCACATCACAAAGCTCAGCTCATCCTAAACCTTTTTTTTTTTTTTAAAGCACTACAAGGTGTTCATAGTACTACAAGGTCATCACATCAAAATCCAATACAGTGCTTTAAGAATGTCATGGAAAAGAACGTGTGCATCATGTATGTGCAGCTTAAGAATCTGCATCATGTGAGTGATGCTTTATTGTCAAAATGAACCAAAATCTTTGTTTCATTTACACCCCGAGTTCTTATTAACTTAAACCACATCTAATTAATACTGCCTTTGTGTACAAACTACATTATCTCATCCAATTTTCCATTAATAAATAAAAATGGCAATAAAAAAAAATAGAATGAGCATGCCAAGTTGTTATGCTTATTCTAATCATGCCTTGCAGCTAAACAGCATATTCTCATTATCAGTTCGTATGAAATCCTACGAAAAGTTATGCACAATATTTCTTACGTTTTTGATGTTTTTCCTCGAAAAAACACATCAGTGCGCATGCGCAGGCAGACAGACAAAAAAAGCAGATCGGTGGACGGACGTAAAACTGGGACGGACAGTGCAATAATTACTTCATCATGTCTCTCACTAGGTTGCTTGCTGTTTTGTATGTTAGGGTTAGGTGTAGGGTTAGGTGTAGGGTTAGGGTTAGGGTGAGGGTTAATTGTTTGTTAAATTGTATGTTATTGAATGGTGCTAAGATGCGCATGCGCACGGATATCTTGTCTCGAGGCAAGACGTAAAAATACAACGAAATACGACGAAAAAAACGTCAAAAACGTACGAAATACTGTGCATAACTTTTCGTACGATTTCATAAGAACTGATAATGAGAATACACTGAGCTAAATGGCCCGGGTTCAAATTGAGGCCTGATGTCTGTGCATTTCCTGGACGGGGTCACCTTTTACAGTTGCCTTTTGTGTCTCTGCTTCAGTCTCCTTGAACCCCAGTCGGCCTCAGCAGATGGCCGCTCACACTGAAACTGGTTCTGCTGGAGGTTTCTTCCAATTAAAAGGGAGATTTTCCTCTCCACTGTCGCTACAAGCATGCTTAGTGTGAGGGATTGCTGAAGAGTCAATGAGTCGATGCAATCAACTGGTTTTCCTTAGATAGAAAACTTTGAATCAATCTAACTGGATGATCTGGTGAACTGTAATGTGCTTTGAGATGACATGTGTTGTGAATTGGCACTATAGAAATAAATTGTATGGAATTAGCATTATTCCCATCAATGTGTGGATTCTTTCAGGGTACTCTGGTTTCCTATAGAAGTCTAAAACCATGACTGCCTGGCTAATCTGGTATATTTGTGTGGATGGTTGTCTATTCTGCATCTCTGATGGAATGACAACATGTACAGGGTTTGCCCTGCTTCTTTCCCACTGACCACTGGAGATTTCAAAGCTACATCTATCAGGAAAGCAGGTGGATGGAGCACAGCAACAATGTCTATATTCACAGTTCTATTTGAAAGCTTTACCCTCATCTGTATATTAAAACTGTGTCTTTTTCCGTGTGCAAACAAAACAAACAAACAAATAAGGGAAAATAAAGTTGTAATTTGTGGCTGCTGCCAGTAAAGAATAACAGTTAAATATAGCCTAGAAACTAACACCTTGCAGGGATGTGACAGCTGCTTTAGAGGAAATGTTGGCAGCAGACTCTTCTCGCTCTGTATCCCCAATGTCTCCACTGAAATGGTACTGGGGTCTTTTTGGAAGGATTCTGGTCTTAGTATTTGTAATTCTACAGAAAAAAAGAATACAAAAAGAGCTAATAAAAAGAACAACGTATCATTTGGCTGTTGAATAGCTAATTATTGGGAAAAAACAGTAAATGCACATTTTTGAGCGCTAAACGCTGCGTATCTGGAAATATAAGATGGATTAATTACCTATAGGTCTAATAAGTAATTAATATTAAACAGAACAATGAAATTAATTAATTAATTAATTAATTAATTAATTAATTAATGAAGTTTGATGTAGATGAAGTTCCTTTTAATTAAGGTTAGGAAAAAGTGTTTATTTTATTTTCAGTTTTTCTGGTCTGTTTGGTCTGTTTGTGGCAAAACTATCACAGGTGCAAAAAGTCCAAGAAAAATACATCCAAGCTCCAAGCGGTGGAAAAGCTTCCACATAAACATCCAGTAAAACAGGCGGACCACAGAGCGGCCTGACAGGGAGCGCTTCTTACCTTGAGCCGCTGTGGAGTGGATCAGAAAGGGGAGAAATAAAATCCATGTGGCGCGCCACATCGATCCGCGCCAGCGCCTCTCCAACATTGTTCCAGGGACCCCGTAACGGACAACAAGTGCCAAAGCGGACTGAGGTGTGATCCCGCGGCGCGGCGCGGCTCTCCTGCTGCAGCCCCGTGGGTCTCTCTCCGTCTGTCCGTCAGAGCGCACCGAGCAGAGCGCGCGCGGAGCGAGAAGCTGCAGCTGGGATTCACTCAGACGGTCTGTGTTTGTTTTACAGTTTAAGTTCGCCCCACTTCCACGAACTAGATACGATCGTCTGGATGAGGTTTCCCACTGAGCATCCTCTAAAGAGATCAACTTCAATCTCTCTCTCTGCACCTGTAATGAATGATGGATCCAACACTCCTCCTCCTCACATACTCCAGTTTCCTCCTTCTTCCTTTTTCCGATTAACTCCAAACTTTAGCGGCTTACAGTAACTCCAAAGAACAGACTTCTCCCTCTGATTCTTCCTGTCTTCTTTGTGGGGAAGCTGCAGACGGAGCCACGGATCCACTCCTGTAAAGTTCCTCTCCACTGCGCGCTGTCAAGGTCGCCAAATCCGTCAGACAGCAGCGCTGACGAGAAGTTCCGCTGCTCTGGGAGCGCAGAATGAGGGGGTCTGCTGCTGGTGGAGGTGGCTGGAGAAAAGTGGGGGCCTCTTCCGCGCCGTCACAGAACTGAGGTCTGCGCCCGGCTGCCGGTTCGTCTGTGCCTGTGTGTGTCGGATAGTGAGGAGGACGAGTCCTGGGTTCTGCAAGCGGTAACAGTTGGATTCAACAGTGACAGCGCAGTGCATGATGCCACCAAGCGGCCATGCGCAAAAGCACACCCCACTGGACAACTCAACGTTTGCAGGACATGTTAAGGCTCTACATCACAGAAAAGATCAGATAAAACTGAAGAGAAATGATGCTCTGCCTGTTTTCCCTATTAGAATATAACTGGTGCATCGCATTAACCCATCAGAAAAATAAAACTTGTTCTAAAAAGTAAATGATGTGACTAAAAAGTCAGTGATGTCACTGGCTGTTCAGCCAGATGGGATCCAGAGCATCTGTAAACATCAATCAGGCTGTGTCACATATTTGTCACATAAATGTAGGTCTAAACTCTGACTAGGTCGTTTAAATACGTTACATCTTTGATCTAAGGGACGAATCAAAAACATGAAGAAGGCTGAACCTTGAAGACTGGACTCAGCCGCCACATAAGCCCAACAATATTCACATCAGGCTGTAAATTTAAAGACAGAAAGAAGCTCTTTACTTTCTTTTTTTCCCCTTTTGCAGTTTTTCTTTTAGAAGAGTATACAATCCAGAGTCAGCAAGCTAATTGATATATTCGGCATAAGAAATTATTATTAATTTGAGATTCTTGCTTTATGAAAGATTTTGCAGTAGTGACACTGTTCCCACAGTAGCAGTTTACTTATTGCTTGTTTTTTCCTGGCCGGCCTAAAAAAAATCCAGGGCAGCTCAGGACCATGAACTAGTTCAGTCAAAATTATTTGCAAAAAGATGAAGATATTTTCTACAAAATATTTAAAGCAGCAATGTTTTTTGCAATTTTATTAAAAGAATAGTACACCCAAAACATGATTAGCCTTCATTTTCTACTCACCCCCATGCTGAACAACACTCTGGAGTACTTTTTTGATATCTCAAATGCATCTGGAGATCTGGGAGGCTTCTTGCTGTCTGCAAAAGTCCACAAAAAACATGTAAATATTCCTCCATACTGCTCGTCCAATGTTTTCCAAGTGTCCTGAGTGGGTAGCATCCAGAATTTACTCGAAAC